CACTGAAAGTTGTGTATAGCAGGTATTTGTGTAATCTGTCAGTACCTCATTGTACCTCTAGAAGAAAAAAGCCTCCATAGAAAGATGAACATGCCAGTCACACTTAGAACAGTCAGTCACACTTTGGGAAACATTCTCTTTTCCATTGCCAGGCTCTGCACAGTTAATTCTTTGAAATTAATGAGTGCAAAATATAGTTTTTAAAAAATGCATTATAATTGCAAAGTTATTTTAGAACACAACATCCCTTCGGATAGTAAATGTTTGACCTAATTACAAATGTATAACAAAGAACTATACCTGTCATCTGTGAAATATTTATAATATTAAATGTACCAATGAACTTTTCTGAAGTGTTTTGTGGTTTTTGCTTTGTTTTTATTAACTGGATATGAGAAGAAAGGGCATACCAGGAAACTGTCATTATTTTTAAGTGAAAATGTGCCAATCAGACATTAGTTGTGCTTTATTTGTAGTAAGATTGTAGCACCATATGTTATATATTTAGAAGTGGTGGCGCCTTCATAGATACATCCAAATCAGTGAAGAAACTGAGACACACCATGTTTAAGTGGCTTGTTTAAGGTTATACAGCCAGTTATTGTTGAGCTTCACAAGCAGGTCTATTATTAAAGGTTGACTATGAGGGGTATTAATGGCACACTTGAATATTTGACAACAATCCCAAGAAAGAAAATTTCTTCATATTTAACATAAATTACTTCCCCTTGTTAGAAGACATGGTGAACAGCTGGTGCTTGTAATTCTTTTTTGGGGGGGTGGTTGGAGACAAGGTCTCACGTAGTGCAGGCTGGCCTTCAGCTCAATTTTGGAGCCCAGGCTGTCCTTGAACTCACAGTGATCCTCCTGCCTCAGCTTTCTGAGTGCTGAGATTACAGGCATGTTCCCCTGGCTCTGGTACCTTTAATTGTAATTCTCTTAAAACTTCATTACTTCTCAGGTAATTATTGTTTTCTCTAATTATCTTCAGATATACTTCACATAACCAAGATCACATTTACTATTTTTGTTTTTTATGTTTTTTTAACCACTGGAGTACATTTCTAAAGGATGTTTGGTACAGTATAATTTCTAAGGGCCAATTATATAATTGCAGATAACTTCATTAAAAATTCATTGAGGGTATTAAACCAAATACAAGACCTACATGGCTACAAAGGTTGTCTTTCCATGAAACTGGCTATGATGGTTCTAGATGTTTTAGCCGAGAATTTTCTCCTAAAGATTAACATACCTAATTGTTGGCTTGGATATTTTTGTACACCACAGATATTTTATTTTAGTACATGTTTGCACTACATACTGTTTACATTTATCTTAGGGAATAGGTACATGTACTTAACACGTCTTGATTCTTTTTATTCCTCTTCCCCTCCCTACCCATCTTTTTCCTTCTGTCTCTGGGGTCCCCTCTCCCCATTTTCATTATGATCATTAATTTTTAATTCATGTTTGTGGCATGTAATGACTACATTTGTTGTGGGTAGTTGGTATATATACATGACACAGCTTAAATCTCTTTTACATACCCTTGCCGTTCCCACCTCCTGTGTCTCTTGGTCATCTTCCTAGATATTTTCTATAAGTCAAGAGCATTTTCTGTTCTTTTTAAATGAATTTATGCTGGGTAATTTCCATGAAGCTGTTCCAGAGATTTCTTTTAAGAAGGCTGTGTTGCAAAACTTAGAAATAAGCACTCCACGTTCTACATGGAGTTGTAGTGTCCAGCCAGGAACCATGTTACCTAGTTGAGGTCAAAAAAGTATTTAGGTATTCATTGTGCATCATATAATTGGATTTTGTCTTAGGCATTTAGAAAAAGATGTTAAGTAATTTAAACAGTGTTTTGAGTATTAATGTGCATTATTCTAGAATCATTGAATGGAAAGTAGTCTCTTTCACATTAATGGAAATCACTTTAGTGAGTTCAGATGTATTTTACTGTATATGCTGAATTTCATCTAAGTGAAACTTTGATAATCTTTCTATACTATATTTTCGCTTATATGTAATTTGATTTTTGCTTATAAATTTTGTATGTAGATTAATAAACTTTTTGTTAAACCTGGATTTTTGTATTTGATTAGTATTTTTTGTTAATTTGAATAATGTTAATAGAGGTAGAAAATATTTTTAAAAAATAAACAGTATTTTAAGACTAGTGTACTTAAAAAAAAACAAAAAATGTCCATATGATTCAGTATACCTCAGCATAATTTTGAACAGTTTATAAATATAAAATATCTAAAAATTTATGAAAAGCTATAATTCTATTTCATAGCATAACATAAATGTGTATAACAATTTTTAAAATATATAGTATTCATATAAACCTTGACAAATTTTGTTTATGTTATTTAAAAACTTACTACATGAGAAGTATACACATTTTTAAGTTGTATGTCTGTGTTAGATTTGTTTAACATTCAGAGCTGTATATATAGGGCTCTGTTTTTTCAGGAGAAAACAGATTTTTGAATAGTAAGGTTATTTGGCTAGGGTATTAAATTTTTAAAATATATGTACTAGAGTAAGTTTTAAGTGGTTTTATGGGTAATACATTGGCATTATAGACATTTCTTTGTGGTGCTAATACAAATCTTGCCAACATTAAAAAGAATTCAAGTTTTTATTGCTTTTTTGCTGTTCATTCTCTTTTAAGAGATAGCCAACAGTGCCACCATCAGAAAAGACAGGCTTTTCTCATTATGTTGATTTTCTCATAAAAATAAAACAGAAAACCCTGTATTTAAGAGGTGTTTGAAAAAAGCACGTGTTTAAACAGAGAAACAAAAAAATTGGGAGATGCCAGTGACATTATCAAATTGTCTTTAACTTACTTTGGCAAAATCAGATTCATAATACTATTCCTCATTCACCCATTACTAAATTGGATGCTTAAACCTTGCCAGGTCATTCTGTTGATACTGGCATTATGTTGATACTAGTTTACTGTCATCATTTTTAATTTGAGAGTCTCAAGGAAAAATACAAAAATAGGTCATCTTGGTTTGATATCTTCCCTCATACGCATTTTCAGTAATTTTTTGTTTATGCCGTCTCTGAAATTTGCTTTATTTTAATAATAAACTGCCAAGTTAATTATAATTATGAGGATTTTTATAATCTATATTAAAGCATATAATTTTTCTTTCATGGTTTGATACTTACATGATACGGTATATTTATCTTTGAATGAAAAGAAACCCGGTCCCCATCTTCCTGTTGACATCAAACAGTCCTCTGATATGCTAATGTAGCGTTGGGGAGTGCACATATACCGGCTTTATTTGGACTCATTCCAAGTCTGAGAGAAAATTATGTGTAAAGAACTGATTTTGCAGAATTGCCCCCTTCGAGTGAAAACTGATGTTGATACAGTATGCAATTAAAAAGGCTTCACATTGAAACATGATATGGGAGGTTTTCAAAATGTTAGTAAGACCCATCTAATTGTCATTGGGTGTTTAGGATATATCATTAATGCTGTAATAGCTATTAAAATAGCTAACAAATTCATTTCCATAAATGTATTGCAATAAAGATTAGCCCACAATTATTAGCTTTTTCTTAAAATTTATGCTTTTGGTATATTGTGTGCATATGAGACAGTAGATATATTTTGCTAACTATAAAGTGGGAATACCAGCAGATTTCCTTGTACTGTGTCCCTTTTGGCCTGCCCTCAACTGGTGACAGGTGTAAAAATTGGTGGTAGTTTTGAGCTTTTCAAGTAGTTTCTCTATACTCAATAACAAAAAATAAAATTAGTTGGACTTTTCAAAATGTCAAGTTTCCAGATAAACTGCATTAAGTTTCCAGATAAACTGCATTACATTTATAATTTGATATCTATGAAGTATACGTACTTTTTATCTCATTTATTTTTTTGTAAGGTGATTGAGGCAAAGTCTTGATATATAGCTCAGGCTGACCTCAAACTCAGTGATCTTCCTGCCTCAGCCTCCCAAGTGTTGAGGTTATAGGTGTTTACTACCACGCCAGGCTTCTATTAAGTATATACACTTTTAAAAGTTAAAATTATCAGAAAATTTTATGAAAACCTGTTTAAATGCAACATGTCTTCATGTTATTTATAAATATTGTTAAATAGGAAGCGAATTACATTTTTGATTTTTTAAAATATTTATGTAATGAGTCTGATGAAGCTAAGAACTTTGTTCTTCAGTATATTAGTATAGTTTTCTAGCAACTTTAATACAGAAAAATGTACATAAGCATATACCTTTGGACTTTGCAGTTATTTTAGTACCTCCCCTCTTTAGCGCTGCAGCCTTCTGTTAAGTAGCCTCTTGGTACCTCTGGCTTTTTGCCCCACTGTCCTATAAGTTTCTGCTCTGCTTCCCTAGAGCTTTGTTTCATTCATTCAAAGCAGTGTGCAGGTTTGCCTTACATCGTGCAGAAGTCTTCATGAAAACTTTTTAACATAAATTCCTTTGATTTATCTAATTTTTAATAAATTGTATTTCAATTTATTTTCAATTTATTTCAATTTAGTGAAATTATATTTCAAGTCACCAAGGTGGCTCATTGTTTAAAAGGAATTCTGTTGTTGAAATCTGCCAGGAAAATTGTCTTTTGATGACTATAATTACCTTCAGATTTCTGGCCTTTTTAATCCTGGCTTTTCTTAAAATGAAATTTGATAACTTCCTTTTAAGACAGTTTATCTTATAGGTATTTTTTGAAATAGTTGTACATTAGAAAGATGTATTTACATGGTCTGTGCTAACCTTAGGTATAATACAAAGAAAGTTAAGCTGTTATGTCAGGTAAAATTTTACTATAAAACATCGTTTTCTTTGTTCATAACAGGTAGATTAAAGTACATCTATTTCTGGTTTGTTTTGTGTTCATAACAGGTAGATTAAAGTACATCTATTTCTGGTTTGTTTTTCATGTCAGAATCTTAGTCTTAAACTTTTAGTTCTCATAATTATTTTTAATTTCCTAAAAAGCATTTTAAAAAACAGAAGAGGCTGATCCCTGAAAGAACCGTGTGGAAGTACTTTGTTCAGCTCTGCAGCGCGCTGGAGCACATGCATTCGCGCAGAGTCATGCACAGAGGTACGTGCAGCTCTCCCGGTTCGTACGAGAGTGAAAGTTACTGTTTTATGTGACTCTTCGGAGCATGTCAGATGGTGTTGGCAAGGAAAAGCAAATGTGAGGAAGCAGGTGAATATATAAGGAAAAGGGATTTTCTGTTTTCTTCCTTCGAGTGAATAATGTCCTGTATATTTAATGGCTACTCTGATTTTTTTAATCTTCACCATTAGTTTTTAATATGCTCCTCATGATCAGTGAAATGATGGAACTTAGTATGTTAGGGTACACTAAGTAAGTAAGTGAGTAATCCGCTGATTTGGGAATGTGAAATTTTCAAAGTAATTTACTTAGAGAAGATTTCTAACTCTCTGTAAATAAGATACGTAGTTATTATTAATCATGATTTACATATACTCACAAATTAATTTTAGTAAAATGTTTAAAATTGTTAAAAGACAAGTTTATTTTGTGTTTTGAATTTTACCCAAGGTTGCTTGAAAAGGGAAAACAAAATGTACTTTAAATGGAAACTGATAGTGATCTTCATCCTGCTACTTTGATGCTATCAGAGGATCCAGAACTTTGAAATACTATCAAAATTACTCAAATGAAGTACTTTAAATTCAAACTGTCATATTATGATACATTTTAGGTAGCATCATGATAAGTACTTTCTTAACTTTTATAGTTCCTAAAGTTACATCATCTTTCACCCGATCCCTTCATTTATTCACAGATATAAAGCCAGCTAATGTGTTCATTACAGCCACTGGGGTGGTAAAGCTTGGAGATCTTGGGCTTGGTCGGTTTTTCAGTTCCAAAACCACAGCTGCACATTCTTTAGGTAAGTGATGCAATACAATTTCATTCCCTTTATTGTTGCTGTTTTGGTCATGGTTAAAAAGAAATGAGACGTACTTGTCATATACCAGCTCTTACCCTTAAAACTACTCCTCAGGTCTTGAGGAGATACCCAAAACTCTGTATTAGGTATAATGTTTTCTTTCACACGACAGGTGAATACTTCTGTTAACTTGACTTCAGGCAGACTTCAGTTAAAAAGAAATACTGATTTTTATTGTCACCATGGATCCTTTTATTCCACATAATGTAGTGGTCAGATGGTATGAATAAACTATATTTTGGAAGAAGTCTTTAGCTGACCACTTAATAATACTATGTATAATAATTTGTACATATTTATTTAGTAAAGTAACAAATGGAGGTGGTTACTGCAGAGGAGAAAAATCTAAAGATGATCTGTGACGAACAAGAAAAAATGTTCCCTTAGATTGTACAGTAGAAGAGATACCTGCCCTTTATTCATGAGTTAACAATATAGCAGTACCTTTTGTTCCCAAAATAGAGTCAGATGTAACTGTAACAGCATCATATTAGTGATGGAAAAGAAAGTTGTCTGGTTTAGAAACAATAGAAATTCTTAAGGAGAACTAATTTTTTAAAAATTTTTTGAGTTGAGTAACATGAAGGGAGTAACATCTCTTAAAATTCTTCAGCTCATCAGAGTGTCTCTTAAAATTCATTAGAGATCATCTTTACTTATATGTCCAACACACATAAAATGGTGACAACCAGAATAATGTAAGAATTAGGCTGAAATAAGTTGGCTTCTGTTTTATTGTGCCTATCTTTGTGGTGTCATAAATTCATTGAAAGTCACGGCATTTTTAAAAAATTTGTCTTTAAATATTAAGGACTTTTAAATGGCCTGCTGATGAAAAATGAGTTACACTAAAAGAGAAAAAAATACAGAAATGAACATCTGAATTACTTGAATAGAGATTTCTGAAGTTTTTCTGGGTTTGTTACTGAGGTTCTGTGTGGCCGTGAAGCTGTCATTTAGTTTTTCTATATCTAAAGCAGTACTTGATACATAAGTAGACATTCAGTAAATAGTCACTGAATGTCAAATATTGTATCTTTGTGTAAAGTATGGTGGAAAGATAATGCTTAACTCTGTCACAGAATTTCAATTTTGTCAATTAATTTGAGAAAATAATATTTTACACTGATGTCAACTACTGTTTTCCCTCCCACTTTACATTTTTTACAGAGCTTTACTACTTTTTCTGAATTGAACAATTTGATGTAAATTCTATAAGTAATGAGTAAATTCGGGTAGCACTTCAGTAAAGTTGCATTGTGATATTACAGTGCTTCCAGTATAATATAGTGGAGAATTTCTGTGAAAAAAACTTAAGCTCTTCAAGCCAGTACCACTTATTCCTAGTAAAGATCTCTGTTATTGTCCTGATTAGAATGTAGTAACAGGATTCTGTCATTAATTTACTTAGAAATACAAAGTTACAATTACACATATGCACACAGTTGCACATACCTGGTGTACAAGTGTGTTCTTTAAATGCTGTTTTTCAGACTGTCACTCTGAACATGCTGAAGTCATCCAGTCCTGAGAATGCAGGATGTTAGTGTGAAATCTAGATCTTAGCCATTCTGAAAATGAACCTGTTTAGTATGCCTGATACTGCCTGTCACAAAAATTCTAAACAGGGTTTAAAAACAAATGCATCTTCAATTTTAGGTGATATGCTAGTCCAAGTTATGTGATATAGAAATAAAATTAATTTTAATAAGTTTAAGAGTGTCTAAAGCGAGTTTTATCAAAATCAGTTCACAGGATAATGTGGTTTTATATGTAATACATGTTGATACAATTTCTGTGCATTCTAAGACATATCTAAAGTAGGAAGTAGAAATGAGACTCTTGTTTTGATGGGTAAATCATCAGCAAAATAATTTTTTTCACTAGTTTTAAAAATTGCTTTCATTACTGCTTGTCTGCTGTACAAAGGGAAGGTTTTGATAGTTTGAAATTGAGGTTTAAGCAAAGTGCATCGAACATCAAAAATTAAAGTTTGAACGCTAGCTTACTACAGTTCTTTGGATGCAGTAAAATAAAAATTCTATTTAAGGATCAAGAAAATATATCTGCTAACTCTCTTTCTCTCTCTTTTTCTTTCTCTCTCTCTCTCTCTCTCTCTCTATATATATATATGTTATGTGGTGATAAAGATAGCAATCCTAACACAGACTTATTTTTGTTGGTTCTAATTTTAACTTGTAGAGAGTTATTGCTCTTCCATGTTGTCATATTTTTAAGAGCAGACTTAAGTTTGCTTGTAAGAACTGTGCTGAAAAGTAACTGAAAATGTGGCCGCCTATACAAATTTATTTTGCTCACAGAAAATATGAGAACTGTTTTTATTGTATGTTACTGAGGATAAAATCTGTAGGGCATGATATATCCATAAAACAATGTCTAGATTTTAATGAAGCTAAAGTAAATATGGATATAGTTGTTTTAAAAAATCTGAGTAAGTTTTACTTTAAAGTCTGTTATGAAATTACTTTAAATGCATCTATTTTGAGGAATTTAAAAATGAAAAGATACAGTGTTTTAGAAACATTTTTATAGTCATATCTTTGTTTTTTATAAAATATACTTTTAAAAATTCGAAGATACTATTTTAACTTACTTGATTTATTTATAATTAAGAGATTGGCAAGTCTGCATTTCTTAGTTCTCTAGTTTGCATTTCATTTGTATCAGTTGATATTATAATAAGAAATTAACATTTGATATCATTTATAGTTCTACCCTGTCTTCAACAGCAAATAAAGTTTTCTAGATGGCCACATTCCCAGTTTTCAGAACCAATTTTATAAAGCATGGCAACATAGAATAGTAATCCTTCGAATTCAAACATTAAAAATTGCAAATACTAAATCTGATGGTGGTGGTATTCAAACAATATTCAGATCCTCAAAACTGAAAAATCCTCGGGACCTTCACTTTTTAAAACATTTCCTGTCTACTACCACCACATACATTCTCTCATACTCTGTCTACTTTCCATTCTTGATCTATAATTATTTCATAATAATAGACTGGGAAATACCCTCTTTTGCTGCTAATATATTTCTTTAATCTATTCTGTATTATGCCCCCTGGCGTTATCTTCCTCTAAGACATCTGATTGTTACTTTTCTCCAAATGTTTGATGGTTCTCTGCCCTGAGGCATATGCACAATTCTTTACAATATTCAGGGCATTGTGCAGTTTGGTGTCCTCTAACTCTTCACTCATTGTTGACTTTCCTTCCCACATCATACAGCAGCCTACTTTTCCTTTTGCTTTGTACAAGAGAAATAGAATGAAATGTTCTGAGAGAATGGAGAACACCTGGAACTTGTGTGTACATTGCTCCCAGGACCTTAATCAAGCCTTTTATTAATCTTCTAAAATGTAGTTTCTAGATTTATAAAAGTAAAAGTGTGAATAATAACCACCCTGTGTTTAACTGTTATCCCCTAATTAATTGCTAATGAAATATTATGACTGAAGTTTTCTGAGCACTGTGATACACTGTATATTTAAGTTGCTTCTGTTAAGATGGTGGTGGTGGTGAAGCTGTAGAAGAAGCAGGAGGTGCAATTCTTTTTTTAAAATTGATTCGTTCAAATAATAGTTTTAGTGCCTATGTTACGCAGATGCTATTCTATGGACAAGGAAGGTAGCCTCAGCAAGACAAGTGTCTTTAGGGAGCTTATGGTAGGAGAAAATAGATGGTAATAAAGCAAATAAAGAAGTAAGATGAATTTTAATGGTATGCAAGAGAAGGACTAGTAAGGAAAATACTTCAGAAAGGGGCAGGCATCTCTGCGGAGCTGATATTTGAGTTAAGTTTCAAGGGATGCAAAAGAGGTAGTTGTAAGTGAACCCAGGAAATAGGAAATAATCTTTCAGTCTGACTGAAAGACATTTCCCATCAGGGGTAGTGCAGGATGACGTTTGCCTACAGAAAGTCTGCTGGAGCAGATGGCAAAGGGGACAAGACCAGGTTCAGGGGAAACCCCATTGAGTTCCTAGTGCAGTTTTCTAGGCAGGCTTTTGCAAGGTTGTGAAGAAAAGAGCCACATGAGCTGAGTTCAAGACAACAGCCATGGTGTGATGTTCCTTATCAGTTTCAGGTTAGGCATGGGTGGGGTTGTATACTGCTGACAGGTCCTTCTGGTTCCCCACAGTCTCCGTCTTTCCCTGTCAGTGTCTTAGTGCGTACCGCCCAAAACTGAGTAAAGTGTACCTTGTTGGAGCTCACCAGCACACATATCAGACAGTTTTACTGCTGTGATCTATGACGTAGACCTTTCTGGTTTTCTGTCTCCACCCTTCTCCTTTTGTTTCATACATGAATTTACATTAAGATTTTCATGTAATCTGGACAGGGGTGTGGTTAGAGAGGTTAATTGCAGGATATTACACATATCTCTGTGAATGTCGCTTTTTTCATATTGTTTGTCAACCTTACAGGTGTAACAAATGTTAGAAAATTTGTTATCTGATCTACATCATAAAGATTACTATTTTATAAAGCGCAATGCTAGCTGTGACCCACTAACTTGATTTCACAACTCATTAATGGATTGTTACTTCCTCCCACTTGCAAAACATTGATCTAGAGCTAGTGCTTCCAAGCAGTTTCATTTACTGGCAGATTCCTGTTTTTCTCTCTACTTTTGCACATTCTCTTGATTTACTCTCTGGTCCTTTCAGTTGGCCAAATATCAATTAGCCATTTACAGAGTTCCCTATGCTTCTGCAGGTGGGAATAACACGAGTGGTGATTCTTTATGGTTTGCAAATCACTCAGCTCCCTAAGATCCTCAGAAGATATGCGTAGAATATGCAGATGAGTTGTTCTTATTCTAGAGGTGAGACACAAGCATAGAGATAAGTGGGCTCTGTGGCAAAAGTGGCTCCTGTAAACTGAAAGCTAAGTGTTCATCAAAACCTGTGAAATT